TAAGTTCAGCTGTGCAACACTGAGAAAACATTTGATTTAACAGTCTACATCCCAGTTTCCTGGGGGAAGGGCTACCTGAGATGGAATCTAATGATGCATGACCCAGAGGTTGTCTCTTACAGGATCTGGTTTCTCTTTTTGTAGCTGAAACTCACTCCAGAGTATCTGGAACTAATGAAATATCATGCAATAGCTGCAAACAGCAAGCTGTATTTTGGTGACAGCATCCCCACCGTGTTTTTGGATACCTATGCCTTCCAGCAAGCTGGTCTGAGGACTGCCCAAGAAACCAGCCTATCCTCACAGGAGACCCCGGAGACCTCTGGAGAAAGCCACGTCAAAACCAAGGAAAGCACTGGCTGACCGACATAGAAAGATACGTGGTACAGCTCAGCAGCTAGCCCAGCTGTGAATGGGGATTGCCCTGTCCTGGTGGGGCGGATGCAGCACGCGTGTGGACATCTTGCATATAGGTGGCAGTTGGGTTGATTTTCTTCTAGCAACACATTGCAAGTGCTCTGCCTCTTCCGTTTCTTCCCCTATTAAATTGGTGCTTCCAAATGAGGGATAATCTTGTACTAACATACCTATACTGGAATATTAAAAAGACAGAAACCAGGAAAGCCTTCCGCAGTAGGTGCAATTCTTTAGCAAGCGTTACCCTTGAGGCAGGAGATGTGGCTTTGAGTGCTTTGTGGCTGTGCACTGGTCGTTCCCCAGCCCTGCTTGCTGAGGCCAAGCAAAGACATTTGCTTTCTCCTGTCAATGAAGCTTCGTTGTGTGGACCCTGAGGCAGGTTCTGTTGGCGCTATCTAACTCCTCGAGGACTCAAGTGTTGGCCAGCGGAGGCTGTGCTCCTGCTTGGGGAGAGGCCCAGAAAGGAGTGATTTGGTTTGGAAATTATTTGACTAGGATCTGCATAGCCATAACCTTTTTCTTTCCTGTAGGCAGTGGCACTAGATAATATGGACTCGGCACGAGCAATCTTAACAGGCTTTAGGAACTTCCCTTCTCCAAGCAAGAGCCTTATGTTGGCTGGCCATGAGTGACTGTAGTATGCTTCAGCCAGGCAACTGGGTCTCACCTTGCACCCTAAAACAGGATTCAAAATGCATGCAGCACCTCACAGCAGCTGATTGGGAGCAAAGGGCCCAGAATTTTGAAATCTCTGCTCAGGCCTCAGCCCCTCTCTAGGTCTTTTCACCATGGAAAGGGTGCTAAATTTCCACCAGTCTGCCTTGCAAGCAAAGGGAAGGAAAAGAGAAGAGTGAGGAGAGCTGCAAGATATCCTTGGGGCAGAGGGAAGGAGTCTCAGTATTATCCTGCTATTCAGATGGCCGCCTTCTGTTGTGGACCACCACTGGGCAGAGAATAGGTGCCTGGTCCCAGCCTGCCCAGGCTAGCGCTGCCCTGCGCTCTCCACCTGGCTCGTGCAATTGACCCTGCTCTGCAGCAGAACAGATGTTTGATGCCTGATCTCAAAGTAGGTGAGGCATCGCTACTCCCCTTGAGATTAAATACAGCAGTGCAAAGTCCATGGATCCCGGAAGAAGGGGAACCTGCCTTGTGAAATTCCTTGTGCATCCTCAAGCAGTTCCAGTGGAGAGTCTGTCAGCAGTCTTACAGTTGCTGGCCAGGCTTTGCTTTGTCACAGGGCTTTTGACTCACAAGCCGCGCTGGCAGGATGACCTTTATTCCTGGCATACATCCTATCGTGTCCATTCCCTGCTCCCCCTGCACCATTGTGGGGCGAGAGAAGAAAAAAGGTGAATTCCTGGAGGGGGAAGTAGGGGTGGGTGAAGTCTGTTGCTAATCTGCTCTCTTCCTCCCCGTCATGCTCCTCTGTGCCTGTCGGGACTCGTGCTTGTTTCTAGGACCTGCTTCTCGTTGCGTTCTCTGACAGTCCCAGAAGATGGTGACTGAAGGAGCACATGGCAGGGGCTTGATCCAGAATGCCATGCCCCCAGCTAGCAGCACTACAGCCCCGCTTGCCTCTTAAACCCGGTGCATGTTCAGAGACCACCTCTCTTCCGTGAGCTTGGACGTCTGTATGCTCATCCTGGTTTTCTGTCCTCTCTGATGCGGTCAGGGGAAGTGCTCAGCCCCACAGCGATTCACCAGAAAGGCCAGTTGGTGGTGACTCACCCAATGACAGGTATTGAGCGCTTCTGTCCCTAGCGTTACCTGTGGTCTCACAGCAGGTGGAGGAACATGCTTGGAGGTTTTCCCATGGTGAAACATTCAGCCTGAAGTGAACAGCCCTGAACTTCACCTCTCTTAGTAATTTCCCTAGAAGAGTTGTGTGCGCTTTGGGCCTTCCAGTGCTAGTTTTGTACCCCATGTGGCTCGTTCGACTTGGAGGATGACAGTACCTCTCCTAGAGGGAAGCTCAGTAACACAGTCCTGAAGGTGCCTTACTCTGTCTCAGCTCCTGCCCTAGCTGTCTTTTCTCCCTCTCTGGGGCAGAGTGGGGATGTTTTGACCCTTCCTCTCTTTCTTCCTCTGCCAGCCACATGGGTGACACATGCCTGTGGGACTTGCAGAGGGCCTGTAGTGGTTTCACATGGTCTATCCTCCATCTCTCTGCAAAATCCCAAGGCCCAGCTGATGCTTGGCCCCATGAGACAAGCTTTTCTTTCCCTGACATGTGGCAGCTCTTCCTTACTTGGTTGTTAGCTTGCGCTGTAGCTAGTTGCTGTTCCCTGCTGCAGGCCCCCTACAGCTGCTGAAATCCAGCACTTGAGCTCTAGCAAAGGGCTTGAAGTGCAGCTTGGAGACAGCTTACTGCAGCAAGAACGCAGGGTGCCTCTTAGAAAGCTGCCTGCAGCATGCTCCGTGAGCAACTTTCTCTCTTCTTGCACAACCTGTTAGTCAGTATGCTGTCTCCTCAAGGCACTCAATGCATAGTCTGTGGTTGCTTGCGGCTCCCTGGTTGCTCTCTGTGGTTGGTTATTTGAACTCAGCCATGGCAAGAGCTCAGCAACAGCGACTGACCTGCCACAGTGAGAGGCCAGCTAAAGGGGCCAATTGCCTCTCCTGGCCTCGAGCTTGTAGTCAGGAGGTGTGCATGCTCCCTCATGATGAGAGGAAAAGTGCTGCTGTTACCAGCTTTAGTGAAAGGCAGGAGGAGAGGTTTCTCCAGTGTGTGCTACACACATCTAACACACAGATGGATCATGCAGCAGCCTTTCACCTTGCAAATCCAAGCCAAGGGGAGTGCAAAGCCCCACAGCTGGGCTTTTGCAAGAGGAGCTCGTGTTTTCACCTGCCAAAAAAGGGTACCCTCCTGGGTCCGAGCAGTAGTCAAAGGATGCTGATGCCTTGGGGTTGTTGAGTGCCCTGAGGCCTCCCCTCAGAGGCAGGGAAGCAGGGAAGGTGTCTGCATGTTGCATGTGAAAGATCAGATCAGCCAGCAGTAAGGGCAGAGCTGAAACCCGTGGCTGATGGCAAGATAGGAGGGGGCAGGCACAGCGTTAGCCGCGTGAACACCTGTACTGTTTAACCCATCAATGTACTTTTCAGGGAAGGATACCAGGCCAGGCAGCATGTTTCATAGCTGTGGTACTTGAAGTGTCTCCTGGAAGTGGTGTTTGATTAGCAAGAATCCCTTTCCCCTGTGGTTTTTGAGGAGTCAGTGGAGTTGTGGCTGTTTGACCCTCCAGCACCTCGATATTGCTGGCTTGCAGCAGTAGCTTCAAAGCAGAAACATGGCTTCAGCCGTTTGGGTTGAATTTTGAGACCAACCACAGGCTTTTTGAGAACAGAAACACTCCTGGAGAGGGGATAGTCCTCTTTCCGTGTGGTACATGCTGCATTGTGATCTTGGGGCCTGGTGAGCCGCCCTGGTCCTCAGCTTAAGGTGAGCGGTATCTTTTACAGGCTGATGAAGGCAAAGTTTGCGTGGCAGAGGCCTCAGCAGAGCCACGGCATTGTGGAAGGGCAACCTCCATCCTGCAGAAGAGGGATCCGGCCTGGGTGCTAGCAAGTGCCAGCATCCATCTGTGGGGATTAGGCTGCGTGCAGGGGGACGGAGTAGGTGATGCCAGCCTAGAGGTGCCAAGAAACGAGGGTATGAGGGGAGCCTGTTAGAAGCAGTAAAAGGGCAGCTCACAGTTTGCCTGCAGCAATCAAAGCAAGATCCCTGGGCATGGAGAAGAGAAGCCTGCCAGGCCAGCATAGGACAGGCTGATTCCCTTCAGATCTGAGCCTCAGCTGCTGGCAGCATTGCAGGGCTGTCTCCTGCCACTGTAGCCTTCCAGGTGGATGCATTGATTTGCCATTAGTGGCTGTCACTCTTTGGCTAAACATCCTCCTCCCCTAGCTGAATATATACCTTCCATCTCCATCTCCTGCCTGAGTGGTCTTAGAGACGTTCCTGGCACGTTGTTGTGGCTTGAAGTCCTGCAGCAAGGTTTGCAAGATGCCCAGTGCCTTGTGCAGAAAGATCCTCCATCCTACTTTGCTCCTCCAGCCGTTGCCCTGGGGACAGCACTTCAGCAGCCTGAATACATGTGAAAGATCCAGGCAGCCAGATGACCATGGGTTTCTTAACACCTTCATCTGAGCATTGCTCCTCTCTGACCTTGGAACCAAGAGCTGTAGCTTGGGCTGGGAATGTGGATGCATCTGAAACCTGATTTTGAACTATTTTCTCTCTTCTGAAGGCCTGTGCTCTCTTTTTTAAAGGGGTTTGACCACTGGATCAGCACCTTCTTTAAGGAAACACGATACATATGTTCAAGTTTACATGCACAGTGTTACGTTCTTTTGATAAAATAGAATAAAATTATTTTGATACCATTTCCTCAGTGGGTTTGTGTGTTCTGAGGCCAGTGTCATTCCAGGGGGAAGGAGGGGTATTTGTGCCTCTTAACATGCAGTAACACTACATCTAGTGTGCTTTAAAGCAGCAACAGCTGACACCCTTGGAGCCCTACAAGTGTCCCAGACCTTTCCAGGCTCAGGAAGAATTGTAGCATGGTAAACTGGGTGGCATTTACAGCTCATCCTTGTTCGGTTTGTGCCCTGCTCCTCCCAAAGCTCTTGCTGGAAGCTGAGCCCTATTGGCCCTTTGGTCCTCAGCCTAAGCTGCTCCATCCTTCACATGCAGCCAGCACAGCAGTGCTTGACTCACAGGGCTGCAGCATGGGTGTGTTTTGCAAGCAGGCACAACTGCTGTGTGCAGGCAGGAGGACAGAGGTGAGTTGCCTAAAGGCTCTTGGTGGTTCAAGGCTCATGGCATGGTCTGGTGTCCTAATCTCAGGGGGAGGAGGGTGGGTGAGCTTGATTTGTCAAATGGAGTTAGATGCACAGAGCAGAGCTGTGTGCTGTGCCTTTATGATGTCTGTAACAGGGACTGGTTGTCACAGTGGAGAAGAGCCTCACTTGGATGCCCACCTTTCCTTGGACTGGGGGCCTTTCCTGTGGGGCTGCAAGAGTGCCCCGACTGAGGTCAAAAGCCTTTGGGGGGGCCCTGCTAGGGCCTTCTGCCATTGTGGATTGGTGGGGTGAACAGTACTGGCAGCTTGCAGCACTGGGCAGCTGGTGTGCCCATGAAGGCAGGGCTGCCTGTTGGCATTGCAGGGTGCTGTGCAGGGCCATGGGTGTGCAGGAGGAGGGAAGAGGAACCTCGCAGCACACCTGCATGCACTTGCAACAAGATGTGCCGGGACTGTTGGCCATTTGGACCCACAAACACTATTGCTTGTCTGGAGCGGGCTAAAGGGAGCTGGGCTTAAGCATAAACTCATTTCAGTAGCTCTGAGTGGGAGCTAGTCAAGGGTGACCATTTCACAACAGAAATGTGTAAGGCCCCACTCACAGGCCATCTCCCTTCTACATCTCCAGTTGCTGAGGCACTTAATTTCAGTCACAGAATCAGAGAATCACAGAATCGTTTAGGTTGGAAGGGACCTCTGGAGATCATCTAGTCCAACCTCCCTGCTCAGGCTGCGTCCTCTAGAGCACATTGCCCAGGATCGCATCCAGGCAGGTTTTGACTATCTCCAGGGAAGGAGACTCCACAGCCTCTCTGGGCAACCTGTTCCAATGCTCTGTCACCCTCACAGGGAAGAAGTTTTTTCTCAGGTTTAGGTGGAACTTCCTGTGGTTCAGTTTCTGCCCGTTGCCTCTTGTCCTGTTGCTGGGCACCACGGAGAAGAGATTGGCCTCATCCTCTTGACACTCCCCCTTCAGATACCTGTACACGTTGATGAGATCGCCTCTCAATCTTCCCTTCTCCAGGCTGAACAGGCCCAGCTCTTGCAGTCTTTCTTCCTAGGAGAGGTGCTCCAGCCCTCTAATCATCTTGGTAGCCCTCTGCTGGACTCTCTCCAGGAGTGCCATGTCTCTCTTGTCCTGGGGAGCCCAGAACTGGACACAGGACTCCAGGTGAGGCCTCCCCAGGGCTGAGGAGAGGGGCAGGATCACCTCCCTCGACCTGCTGGCAACACTCTTCCTCAGGCACCCCAGGATCCCCTTGGCCTTCTTGGCCACAAGGGCACATTGCTGCCTCATGGTCAGCTTGTTGTCCACCAGGGCTCCCAGGTCCTTCTCGGCAGAGCTGCTTTCCAGCAGGTCAACCCCCAGCCTGTCCTGGTGTATGGGGTTATTCCTCCCCAGGTGCAGGACCCTGCACTTGCCTTCGTTGAACTTCAGGAGGTTCCTCTCGGCCCAGCTCTCCAGCCTGTAAAAGGCCCCTCTGAGTGACAGCACAGTCTTCTGGTGTGTCAGCCACTCCTCCCAGTTTAGTATCATCAGCAGACTTGCTGAGGGTGCACTCTGGGCCTTCATCCAGGTGATCGATGACTCCATTGAACAAGACTGGACCCAGGACTGACCCCTGGGGCACACTGCGAGCTACAGGCCTCCAACTTGACTCTGCGCCACTCACCACAACCCTCTGAGCTCGGCCATCCAGCCAGTTCTCAATCCACCTCACTGTCCACTCGTCTAGCCCACACTTCCTGAGCTTACCTGGGAGGATGTGATGGGAGACAATGTCAGTCCCAGCACTGACATTAGTTGGGCTCCTTTCTGCTCCAGCCAGGGCTTTGGAGCTAGGGTTTTTTTTTTTCTTCCTCTCTACTGGGAATTGCAGTGGCCATGCTCAAGACCAAAGAGAGGGTTCAGGGCTGGTTTTTTTTTTTTTTTGGCAGCAAAGACCTGCAGGTTTTCAGTGCCTTTTCTCCCTGCAACCCCAGCAGGGAAGAGGAGGAGACAAATATGGGGATTGTCCAAGGGCCTAGCCAAGGAGGGGAACTGGCTGCTCAGAGCAGGGCTGGGGATCCTGCAGTGCTCTGTTCCAGAGGATTTGCCAGGGACCCACTTTCAAACCCCCAGCCGTCTCCTATCAATCAAATCCATACTTTCCAGCTCCTTGCACGTTGCCAGCAGGCCAGAACTGTCCCCCCGCCCCGCATCCCCCCTGGCCATGGCCTCAGCTCAACATGGGGGTGTTGACCACCTCCCCTCAGAAGACTACACCTTTCCCCACTCCGCCAGCCTCTGTGGCACTCCTGCCCTGTGAGAGCCCGGGGTCGGGGGGGGCAGGAGGAGGCTGCCAATTGCTGCCTGCGCTATGCTCTCTACTAAGAGAAACATCCCAAGACACAGTTACTTTCAGTCTTTATTTGTATAAAAGCCTTCAACTGGAATGATATCAAAATGGGGAGGACCAGTTTCACAACAAATGGCTCAAAATGGTCATGGGAAGGGTCATAAATTAATGGCTGCGGTGAAAAACCCTCCTAGGAACCCCCTTTCGGGAGATGAGTGAGTTAGCCGAGTTGTAATTTCAGAGCTGAATCCAAACCTGGCTTGGACCTGCCCCAGCCCCTTTGGCAAGACACACTGTGCAGCTGGCCCCAGTTGCAGTGCTGGGCTAATGTAGGAGGTGGCCCACAGGCCCTGTCCCCACAGCAGACACTGTCCCTGCTGTGGAGAGCTCTGAGCCTGGCCTGGTTTTGCACGGCAAAGCTGGCAGCTCTGCGCTGTGGCCCCAGCAGGGAAGGGCCATGAGGAGCAGGACACATTTACCCTTTGGGCCAAGCCCAAGCCACTAGGCTGGGTGCGGAGCCAGCGTGAGAGAGGCAGCAGCACCCAGGGTACAGGCAACTCCCTAGCAACTAAGACTCAGAGCACGATCAGGAGGGGTTTGGTGGAAAAGAGCAGTAAGAAAAGACTGGTCTTGTTTGGGGGTTTCCTGGAGGAGAGAGTGGTCTTGGCACTGTCCATGTTCCTGGTCTCTCCCTATGATTGTAAGCCCCCAGCTCATGACTCTTTCTGGTCAAACTATAAAGCTACAAAGTCTGTTAAGGCACAACTCAAATATCTGTAAACACCGATGGCCTCAAGGGAGGGTCCAGCAAGTGATTCAAGTACCATTGAAGGAAGATGCAGACGCTCTTGCTGTCCCACCCAAAGTGCCGGAGCCAGCAACTCCTCCATTGCTGTGGCAGATGCAGCCCAGGTCATCTCCGAGCTGTGGGTGGCTTCAGGGCCACCTTTGGGGTGACACTCCTCTGAAACACAAACAGAGGTGTTGGCAGGGGAATGAGGGAGCCCTAGGCTTCACAGGCTCCCCTCATCCTTATAGCCAGCGCAGAGCTGAGGTGGGGACAGGAGTGACTCAAGGTGATGGCTGAGCCACTCATGCCCAGCACGCTCTGGAGCTGCAGGAAAGGCCATAGTGCAGTTCACCTGGGGCATGGTGGGGTCTGGACGCGGCTGGGATGACAAGGTTGCGGGCTTGGCAGGAGGGACGGGAGGCGCTGGCGGCAATGGCGCTTCTGCTGCGGTGCAGCGGGGCCGGGCAAGCTGGCAAACAAACAAATGGCAGGACAAGACACGGTGACACAGGCTCCTTCCCAAGATAGATTTCCCCCTTCTTGTCCCTCTCCCCAGCCCTGCCATACTGCCCTGGCCATGCCCCAGTCTTGGCCTGACTCCCTGAGGCTGTAACCCAGCAGCTCGGCTGCGCCAGGAGCTGCCCTGCTTCCCAGGCACCGTCCCCAATCCTCTCCTCGGCACCAAACCGATTGATGGGAACTGCGTCCTACCTCCTTTCTCTTCAGTGCTGGGAGAGGCTTGCTAGGTGGATTCGGCTTCACCTGGTGGAAGGAAAGGAGCAAACTGATTGCCTTGTTTGAGTGATGCAGATCAGGGACAGGAAAGCAAACCCGGCTTTGGGACAGAGGAAAGACCACCCCCCCCCACCATGGAAGAGGGCAAGATGACACTGCCCACATGGCTTCTCAAGGCAGCCTCACCATCCTCAGCAAGACCATGCTGTGCAGGGGGCAGATGTGTCCTGAGCTGCAGTTTGGGTTCCACCTCCAAAGCAGAGATGGGTTCCCTGCGGTGGGTTAAGGAGATTGGGAGGGGAGAGGATCCCTCCCCTCCCC